TTTCATACATTGTGTACAGTTGTATACTTATTTTAATGGGTGATTATTCTTGATAAAAGTAAAACCATTACATCTCTGTATATGTATTGAAAACCAAGCTTCTAATGACAAATCAGCTCAATAATCACGCATTAAACTTACATAACATTAATGAACACACCCTGTATATCCACTAAAAGTTAACATAAAAAAAGGGATTGGTGAGCTGTAAGTATTGTTTGGGCCGCCCTGTATTATTGATGTGGCAATCGATTTTCGGTCGAGTGATTTTTAATGCAAATTAATCCCACCTACATCGAGGTGAATATTTGGCAATTTTCCAAACGGTCCGAAAGGATTGGTGGGTGTATAAGTATTATGTAATTCGATTCGATTCACCTGTATTATCGGTCTTATTGTTATATTTAATTACAATTATTTATTCGTTGTATAGCCAAAATTTAGTTAATTTTCTAATAAGGTTCCTGTTTGTAGTTTTGGATATAATTTAATTTAACGACTTTCAAACTACAAAGCGTTAATTAAGCGACTTGGTAAATTAATTAATGTACGCTTAACCGAATGTATATTTTTTGTTTAATTCGAGATCGTAATTAATTTACCAAGAAGCAAGAAGCTTCGTTATAACCGTAAATAATGCAAATTCTCCGCGATGCAATGCCAAGAAAAATTCTATGTTTTTCTATATTTGAATACTTTCACCGAATGACTCCGACTTGACCGATCGCGATCGAATCTCACTCGACAGAACCGGCTAAGAAATTTGTCTTTTTTTCTAAACTCGAGTTCATATATCACACAGGGCGTTTGATTGTAAATTGAATTAGCATAATTTTTGTGAGGAAAATGCTAAAATAATTTTCTTTCTTCGACATTCGCTGTCAATCTGTCATTCGCTGTCAATTTGCAAATCTGTCAATATGTTAATTTGAAACTATATATTTTTGACTTTTTGTTACAATCAAATTATCATTGAAATAAAAGTGTAGTAACATAAGATGATATGATAACAAAATGATTAAATTGAATTAGGATAATTTTCCGAGGAAAATGCTAGAATAATTTTCTTTCTTCGTCATTCGCTGTCAATCTGTGTAAATCTGTCATTCGCTGTCAATCTGTGCAAATCTGTCATTCGCCGTCAATTTGCAAATATGTCAATATGAATTTGACATATCAACCCAGAAACACTACTTTTTACTTTTTGTTAGCATGAAATTATCATTGAAATAAAATGTAGTAACATAAAATGATTAGTAACAATTTCATAAAAAAAACAGTCCTGTAAATCCGAGCGAGCGTTTTCAGACAGACAAATTTGGATCTAGATTCGTTTTTCTATTTATGGCAGTCCTAACCGAACAAGCAGAACCATATTTTACACGGTTAAGGTAAAAAAATCGCCTTTTTCTTACTGCTAAGCGTTCTCTGACCAAATAAGAGCAAGCGCTGCATAAGCGAGCATTCGGAGAATATATGGAGAGTTTGTTTTACGTGCATGTTGATCAATATGCATTTTTCCAATAGTACCTATCGATAATCGCTATTTAAATTTTAGTGAAATTTCCCAATCGTCCTGTAAGGCTCGAGATGAGAGAAAATGCTGTCGATGAACTTGTAGAGCAGAAGTAATATCCAAAATGGATTAAATGTATTGCTTTCACTATTAGGCAATTTTATATTATTGACATAATCTGGAGGATTAGGAGATTTTTTTTTAAATCATTTAATCGCTGGTTTAAACATTTATTTTTTTGTACTTGTATAGGGATTATTTCCATATAGCACTTATTCTCTAATAATAAACCATTGTAAGTAATTTTTATAGATGATGATAGTAGATTAAATTGTTTTAAATTTTAAATTATTAGCCATGTTTAAGATAGTCTTCATATTATAATAATAAAATGTAATAGTAATAGTATCTAAGCTGTCAATAATAATTTCAATAGTACTTATGAATGAAATTGGTGAACAAAGTTAATAATCTTGAAAACTAATTGAGGTAGATAAAACCGGTTCAATATATTTTGTAGAAAAAAGTTTCTACATTTTTTAAAGAATAAATTTCTTTCAAAAATTGCTTAATTTTCGAGATGTTTCGATTTTTATTGAGTGGTACATAATATCGAAATTACTAATTCTTCAACTCTTTCTTCAAATTAATTCAATAAAAAATCGCAATTATTTCAAAAATTAATTGAAATAGACATACTCGGTTTGTTTTATATTATAGAATAAGTGTTTCTCTCCATTTTTTAAAGAATACAATTTTTTCCAAAGTTGCTTAATTTTGGAGATATTTGAGTTTTTTTACAGTATTATAAATTCACTAATTTTAGCGAGTCAATGAAAAATCGTAATTATTTCGAAAACTATTTAAGGTAGATACACGCAGTTTAATTTATATTATAATTAAAACGTTTCTCTACAATTTTTAAAGAATAAAAAGTTCACGATTTTGCTTAATTTTTGAGATATTTTGACTTTTTCTATGGAGCGGATCGAAATTACTAATTTTAGCATAATTGAATGAAACCTACCAATTATCTCGAATACTAATTAAGATAGTCACACCTGGCTTATTTCATTTAGTAGAAAAAGCGTTGCTCTGCAAATTATTTTCAATAAAATTTTTTGAAAATTACTTAACATTCGAGATATTTTAGAGTATTACAAATTTACTACTTTTAGTGCAACTTAATGAAAAATCGCAATTATCTCTAAAACCAGTCAAGATAGATAAACGCGATATGTTTCATTTTGTAGAAAAAACGTTTCTCTGCAATTTTTAAGGAATCAAAAATTTTCAAAAATTGTTTAATTTTCGAGATATTTCGACTTTTTACAGCATATCAAAACTAGTAATATTAATTACAATTCAATGAAAAAACTCCCAATTATCTCGAAAACTAATCAACCCTGCTTGTTTCATTTCGTACAAAAACCACTTCTCTACAACTCTCGACCGACAAACATTTCGAAAATCGCCCAAATTCCGAGATTCTTGGCATCTTTCCAGGCGCTTCCGGTATTTCCTAAACGCACCGATCTGACCTTCCTCCGGTCTGAATAATGAATAAAAAGCACCGTTTTCGTGCGAAACCAGATGAATGAACTTGAATGTAACAAAATAATAAAATGCGCGTGATTCATTAAGCCGTAACGAGATGCGGCAAATCAGGGCCACGGTCACCTCCAGCCCGAAACTTCGCCATTACCAAACATGGAGGTGCATTTCGTCTAGAACAAAATGACCTACCTCTAATGGTATGGAACGAGCAAGTTGCATTGGAGAACGTCTAATGGCATTTCTTTGGGTGTTTTTTAATTGTTTCACGGTTAGTTTGTTTTATTTAAGGAGCGTGTACGAGCCATGGTCTGGTTAGCCCGGCTCATTTTCGATTCGGACTTTTATAGGTTCTTTGAACGAATTTATTTCGGTTTTCTAAATTAAAGCGAACGTGCGAATTTGTAAATGATGTAATGAATTTGCATAAAAAAAACGATAGATAACGATTATCGTCATTGTTTTATATATGAATTGTTACTTGTTACAAGTGAGTAAGGCATAACTTAATATGATAAAATCAGATAAATTCATCCATCATATTTGTAGATTATTTACGTGGAAATATGTATGAATTTGTGTTTTTTACAATTTACCCAATTCCTCCTGTTAATCATAGATTTGTTATTTCGACTGAATCACTAACTAATCTTCCAAATTTTTAAAATTTATAGATATATATTTTTTTTCTAATGAAACAAACTTTCATAAGTGTACCTAATTTAAATTATTTAAAAACATTATTTTGTAATTCTCATCCATGCTATAAACATTTCTAGATAAGATGTCGCAATTGTCTAAATGGAATCATTATCTTAGATTGTAATCAGTATTAAAACAATACTTTTTAATTTGCATATCATCTTACATTAATAATTCTTGAGTATCTCGTGATATCAGAGATGTATTGCAACTACCTGCGTCAATTAAGATAATTCAAAGGAAACACAGTTTTTATAAATTAATAACATTTAAACGTTAAACGAATTCTTTCAAACGAATTCTTCTAAGTCAGATAAACAAAATTGTCAGTCGTAAATTCAACTTTTTTTCAACGGAAAACATGTTTTTTCACATTATCTATTAGATAGAACACGAATATTTAAATCCTTCATTTAATAATAAATTTATGTGATTCTTTTTAAAATTTTTAGATAATATATAATTTGCGGTTGTAATTACTTAATATCAACCTCAATCACAATTAAATCTTCACAATATGTAAAATACCAAGGCTTTTTTAGGAAGTGGTAAGGAATATGGACCGGAATTTTATCTACATATGTACGTACTACATTTTTGTGGAATTATGTGGAATTATGTACATATATGGAAATTCCCAATATTCTGCACAATACCTAATTCAAAATTATTTCTGTGTTTCAAAAGACTCTCTCTCATTATCTAAAGACAATATTTAACCGAGTATACTATAATTTAACAAACGAATGTGCTCGAGAAAGTTTTTCTCAAAATACGGTTCCCATGTAGGTATTTTTAATTGATGAAAGCGAATTATTTTAAAATAAATGAAATTAACAGAAAGTGAAATATAACCCTGTTATTATACAAGGGGATTCCCTCCACAATGTTTCATATCTTCTGATCTTCTTCGAGAAAATTTCTAACTTAGATACACCCTGTATAAGCAATACGAGATGATTTCACTTATTAGTTTTTAAAAATATGTTAATTATATTCCCCAATTCGTATTTACCATATGGCTATTCGTATTGTAACAAAATAAAGTCAACACATCTGTTAGATTTTTATTTTTAAACTAACGTTATTTAAAAAAAGTCGTCTTCTAACAAAATTACTTAAATATAGGCAATACAAAATACGCAACAAAAACAGTGCATTATGTTCTTCGAAGTTGGCAATAGTGTGAGTGACAAACGACGTTTGACGCATGACAAACTTCCCGTTTCCTGTGGTTATGTCTGCGTTTGGGGCGGCTTAGCGTGTCGACGATTTCATTTATAAATTAACAACGAAATTGTGCAGTTTATAACACAATTTGTTACTTTTTAAACTAATTCAAGATGTCTTACAACACTAGAGGTGGTTACGGTTTGTTATTTTGCAATATATACAACGAGTATTGTTAATTTTATCGATTTTTGCAGCCGCTGCTCAAAGACCACAAACGCCCAGTATTGGGGGCATCGGCCAACGCAGGCCTCCCAACGTTGCAAATAACTTCGTATCCGGTGGACAAGTAAGTTGATACAACAACCTACAATTTATTCACTTAAATGCTGTATTTAAATCCACATTCAAGGGGCGAATTTCAGTAAGATTTCTCATATAAAAACACCCCCTTTTCAACATTTTTTTACGGCACAAACGGGCAGGTCCGAGAAAGTCCGAAGCGCAAAGAAGGCCATGCAAAGTCCTTCGAACAAGTTCTTCGACCGATCCTGTTGTGCGCCTTATCCTAAACTCTACAAAGAAACTAATTGGGTATTTTTTCTGCGGATGCACAGGTCCAACATTCGGATTTTATAAACGCAATGCAGAGCCGTGGTAGTTGCACTTATATAGGCATTTGATTTTTTTTAATGTTTACTAAGTACAGATTACGAGTCAAGTAAAATACTGGCGGTATACGAGGAGCGTGTAATATTTAGCTTAACCTTTTAAATCATGCATCGTATTGTTTCGTAAGTTGTTATGATTGCTTGCGAATGGTGCGGTATATGTTTTGAACGGTACAGCTAATTTTATACGGATTTTACCACTCGTAACCTTTGGTTAGCAAACAATTAATTAGGTATCTTGACTGTTATTTTTGTTTTGTACCACACTACAATTGTTTAAACTTCTTTTTAAACTCCTATTATGAATTATCATCTGGATCGATGCTCTCGAGCATCGATCAAATCTTCCGCACCGATCGTAACTCATAAAAAAAAACAAGTAGAGTCAAGATACGAACTAAATGAAAATGCGTCGTTGTCTCTAACGCCACGATGTGCGCACGCGCATCTGGGTTAAAGGCGCCCCTATATCGGTGCTTCGCACCTTTCGAGGGTTTTTCTTTCACGCAAATTAAAACCTGCTCAACGTAGCTGAAGTCCTCGGGGATGTCCCCGCAACCTCAACAACCGCAACAACAACAACAACAGCTGAACAAGCCGCAACAGCAGCTCTATCAACAGTGTACGGGCATACAGTTTCGCAACCAATCGCAGCCCCAGCAGGTACGGATTGTCTCGCAAAACCCGTTTAAACGCTACTAATAGGGAACTGTTTCAGCAACAACCTCAAGTTCAGCAAGTTCAACAGAAAGCCGTGTCGACTCCATCGAAACAGGAGTCGTTGAAGATGGAAATGGCCGATATGGAAACGCCCCAGCAAGTGTCCCAGCAGATTAGCCAAGCGATCGATGTGAACGATGTCACCGATGGGACGGGGTTGATCGGGGCCAAACAGAGAAAGTTTTTTTGGCAAGGTAGTTGTACCCTTAGATATTCTAAACGATTCGTTTGTACGATCATCGTGATGACAAATCACTGCGCAAATATGATAAACACCTAATAGAAATATTGTAATATTCGAAGGTGTTTATGTGAATTGACCTAATCTGAATTGTTTCGTACGATTCGACTTATATAGTCGATGTGTTTTAATATTAATCGTGGCGTTTTTAGATAAGATATCGAAGAAGGAGAAGTCTCGAAGGCGCAATTTGAGATTGAATAAGAGATTACAACCGAAAAACGCCGTGATGATTCTAAACGAATTGGTGAAGAACGTGAATTATGTAATAGAAGAATTGCCGGTGAAAGTCAACGATAATCAATTCAAAGTGACGGTTTCGTACGAGGGAGTCGAGCACGTGGGATACGGTAAGCGTTTGCGATTATCGAGGATGCGGCCTTTTACGCCACATGGAGTCAGCAAGGTTTTTTAGTAGATGAATAACCCAGCGTTACGCCTGTGGCAGATTGACTTTCGTCGATTTGGTACCGGAGGGCCGTTCTGGTCGTTCGGTTCCCTTAAAATCTTCGAAACGGAGCTTCGTAAAGAGTCGGCTTTTTATATACTCGTTTGGAAAGTCGTAGTTTTGAAGCTTACAGCTTTTTTATCGAGAGATCTTGTTGTATTTTCTATTGTGTAGTATCCGTATAAAGTTCATGTATTGTGGTTTTTAGGTCACAGTAAAATTCAGGCGAAAAACTACGCGGCCGAAGCGGCTTTGAAGCACTACGTGAAGGCCAACAGATTGACGGATATGAAGAAAGCTGAAGAAGAGGAAAAAATGGATGTCGAACAAGATGAAGCGAACCAATCGCCGTTGCCTTGGCAACATATAGCTTCTTTTGCTTTGTATAAATTATTCTGTTCGTGGGGCGAAGATCCCAACATTGTCAAGGTACAGATTGAGTCCTTCATGTGTGAATAAGTGCAAATTTGTTTGCGGTACGGTCAGTATTTGAAAAATAACTGTTATTTTGTAACAGTCGTTATTGTAACTCTATGCCAAAAAAATCGGTTCCCACCTCTATTAAAATTCTGTCGTGCGAAATGTCATTAATGGCTGTCAATCTTGGCAACTGTTATTTTGTAACAGTCGTTATTGCACCTCTATACCAAAATATGAGTTCCGCCTCTATTGAACTTCACTCGGACAAAATGTCATTAATGTCAATTTTGACAGTTTTTGTTTATGCATCCTCGAACGCATTTTAAAGTTCCACCAATTCGGGTATGATGCTAAAATTTCGTTATTTATCATAGAGAAGATTAGAATAGAGAATAGAGTAACGAAAAGAACAATATTTGAAAAATAACGGTTATTTTGTAACGGTCGTTACTGCACCTCCACCAAAAAAATCCTACCTCTATTAAACTTCTGTCATACGAAATGTCACTTTTTGATACTTCATTATGTACCATCGAACGCGTCTTAAAGTCCTACTTATTACAATCCTAAAAAATAATTTGTCTTTGGGGGTGAGTAGAGTTGTGGGATATTGCGAACAAATTTGAACTTACCTCTGTATCTGTTTTCTTCGCGTATTACATTCTTATTAATAATTTATTTGTAGAATCCAACGCAAAACTCTCCGGTATTGAATAAACCGCCCGAGAACCGACCGGCCAGGAAGATGCCGGAGAATCCCGAAAGCATAAATCCATTGATGTTGGTGAATCAAATGCTCCCTCACGCGGAATTTGCGGAAATCGGTAAAACCGGAGCACCCCCGAATATTATGTTTTCGTTTACATGTACTGTGGATGGAGAATCATTCGTCGGGACTGGTGGGTGTTTGTGTTTTTTGCGTATGTTTATGAATTTTCGTTAAATTTCGGAATTTAATTGCAGGTCCGAATAAGAAAGCTGCTAAGAAAATGGCTGCCTTCGGAGCGTGTAGTAAAGTTTTAGGCGTGGAGTATCCCAAAGAAGTGTATGCCGGTGTTGTAGTTTAATTAATTTATTTTATAAAATTAATTTTGTTTATTTTTTTGAATACTTTATTGTGTTTTTTATATTGATCTGTTAAACTGATACAAAAGTAGTTAGATAGTTTTACATGGTTCACCGCGTATGGTTTTTACTCTTCATTTTATAATTAATAAGAGCAAGAGAAAAAAATGTAATTATTATTTAATAATTTATTAGAATCTTTTTATTATTTAATAACGTTTGTAAAGTTATAATGAAAGTCTACTAATTAATAGTATCAAATATTTCATTGTAATTACAAAAAAAAACTTTTATAATTCAAACAAATTATAACTGATAAACTTAAGAGATGAAACAATAAAGCGAATTTGATGGATTTTTAATTTTGTGTGTTACTTTAAACTTAAATCGAACCAGATTTCTCTCGGAATTGTGACCCTAAGTGAACTTCAACTGATCAGGTGATATCCGAAAGATGATCGCCCGTGTAAAAAAAACGGGCATTTATCGGCCTACGTTTAACTGTTAGCCGGCGAATATTATAACGAGCCCGTCAAATTTAATAGCTTAATTACGGCGATTATGCAAATATTTTCTATTAATTTCTGCGCCGCTTTCGCCCGAAAACGGCGAAATGTATCTTTAGGATTCTCGGTAATGATACGTTATGAAATCCACGACCCATATCCTCGATGTAATACAGGATGGCCCGCAAAAGAACAACACAGTCAACTTTTGAATTATCGAAGATTTTAAGTAACTTTGTTAGTGTAAAAACAAATATCAATGCACATCACTACTGTCGTTATACTTGCCAAGCATTGTGACAAACTTCTAAAAATAAATACACTAAATAGATTAAGCTTAATGCCTGCAGAATTTAATTTAATATTAACAAAGGATGATAGAAAATGTTAAAAAGCAGAATTAAATCATCAAAAAAATATATATTGTCAAAATTCAACGTTTTTATTTAAAATTCCTATACATATAAATATTTTTACTTGCACTGTTAAAAATATATTTCAGATGATAAAGAAATTTGATAATTAATTATAGTGAGCCCCTGAATACGTCCGCATCAGTTTAGAAACGTGAAACGTGGAACAAGTACCCCTAATTTTCAATTTGTTCTTGTAATTTTGGCATTTGACAATTTTAGAAAATTCCTAGATTTTCTAAACTTTATAATACTTCGGCAACACTGCCTACTTGTGACGTAGTAAATCATAGGTGACGTGCATTGGTATTTGTTTTGCACCAACTGTATTTTTTTTTTTTTAATTTATAACTCCACTTTGAAGTCCTATAACTTCCCTGATATGTAACTTTGTCTGTGTATTAACTTAAGTTTTAAACAAAATATTTTGGGCTCTCCTAAACGCCCCTGCTACGCTTGTCGGTTCATACCCGTGACACCCTGTATAAACTCCCATGCGGAGCCAATTTTTTACCAACGAAATTTAATTTAATCTAAACAAAATCCGCGATTTTTCTCATCGATTTACAAGCCAGTTGCGTCACGGTTTGTTTTTTCAAAACGATGCAAAAAAATCGCTTATTATTCCAATAAATTTCCAAATCGCGCTATAAAACAGGAACACAAACATTTTAATGTTTGAATTGGAAAGACGCAAGCGAGTTTGCATTAAAAAAAACCCGTATTATCTGTATAATCCTTGAACTTTTCTATTCTTATGCACGAGCGAGACAATATTTATTTTCCACCACGGCTCTCGGAATTGTTTCACACACATTTTGTTTTCTAATTAACAAAATCACGCCATTAACATTCGAATATTACGATTTAGTCCTTCAGCATATCTCGTTTTTCCTCCTATTAGCATTTTAAATTACGATTACGGCACGAAAGAGCATTTTATATTACACATTTTATTAAACTCGTCGCATTCAGCAAGATCCGTAAAAATAGCCACATTCTCGATTTCATCCCCTAAGCCTCCTCGCTTTCCTACAACCCTGGTAGAAATCGTGGGGTGACGCAACAGAGGGTTGGCACAGAAGGGAAGTTCCTTCGGCTTCACCCCGCCTACCTGTCTCTATAATTCAACCTCCGGCCGGATTTACTGTCCGAATCGAGTGGACTATTTTATTTTCTATTAGTTCATGAATTACATAAAGAACTGATTTTCATGAGCGCCCACTTAGAGACCTACCGGGGACTCGGGTTTATTAAATTAAAACGCATAAACAACTCGCTTTTATGGCGCTTTGTAAACATGGATGCCCGACAATAGGACGTAAGAATGTGTGGTTTTTTTTAGTATGGAACAGTTTCGGAATATAAATTAGATGGAAATGGTAACAAATTGACGATTTTCCAGCCTAATGAATTCCGAATGGACCTTCGGTTTTATACATTCTGTAAAATTTACATCGATATGCAGATTTTTTTTAACAGAATTAAGGCGCGTTTGGTTCAATTTATCATGAATATCCTCGAAGGAAAATTGCAGAATCACGATGGATTTTAATTTGCTATTAACAGAACAGAACTAGCGATTTGAATGACAATAAAATATTATGTTATAGCTAAATAGAATCAGGTGTGTTATTCAAATCTCGCTTTCGAACTGATATTACCAGGAAATTAATTTTTTCCATTGTCTAACATTGTATTTTTTTTCTAATCCTTGATGCTAATTCGACACAAAATCCTCGATTATCTCGCATCACATCAAACGCTATTTGACAGTCGAATATTAATTTTTGCAATAATTTAATACACCTAATACATTATGTAAAAATATACATATAAAATCGATTAAATCCTGCTCATTTACATATAATTTTGCCCTATCCAAACATCTCCAATCAATGGTTCACCCAATGTCTCTTCCAACTTTATTATCATCGCAGCAATAACTCTGGAAATACAGGGTGTTAATTAATTGAGTGGCGATACTTTAGGATGTGAATATTTGGATGATTTTAAGAAGAAAAGTTTATATCGATATATGTTCTAAATCTCTTAGTATTCGAGCTACAGGGTGTTACAGTTTTAGAAAAAAACAATAATTTTTCTATCATAATTTTCTTACTACTCCAGATATTTTTATGAAATTTTGTACACACTTTTTAATTATTAAGGAGCTATTTTTGAGGCAAAATAATTTTTAAAATTTTTACCAGTGATGTCCGTATGGGGTTTGAACTGAATATGTTTGAAGAAAAAATGGTACACCACTGCTTTTTCCAAAAACTAAAATTATTTTTAAAATCCTCATTTAATTTGGAACAAATTCGGTCCGAAGACTTACTTTCGTACGACGCACCATTTTCGCGTAAAAAAATAAAAACCAAAACAATTTTTTCCCAAGTTCATGAGACTGCTTTTGATATTTTGTTCAAATTTGATAGGCGCTCAGCAAGAATAGAAACACTTTTTTTGGGATAAAAATTAATTTTCTACTATTATCAGTGACGTCCACGTTCGAAATTTCATAAAAATATCTGCAGTAATAAGAAAATTATGATAGAAAAGTTATTTTTTTATCTAAAACTCTTAACACACTGTAGCTCGAAAACTAAGAGGTTTAGGACATATATTGATATAAACATTTCTTCTTAAAATCACCCAAATAATCACATCCTCTTGCATCAGCACTAAATTAATTAACACCCTGTATAGCATGTACTTTAAAAATGACCTATAAACCCATTAATATCCCTCAAAAAACCCACATCAAATAACCCCATCCAGCCAATTCCAAGGAGGCCTCCAAACCATCACCGGCACTCATCCAACGAATGAAACGCGATCTCGCCCACGGCGCCGGAACCGTCCCGCGTCCAGACCGTTCCCGCTCCTGGGTCCCTGCTCTTCCCGGCTCCCGAAAAACAACCAGAAAACCGCGGACGGGGGCCGGCGCGCCGCGCGGGGGGGCGCCAGATCGGCCCGGCCTCCTGGTTAAAAGTTTCGAAAAGCACGAAAGCGCGTCCTGATAGGCGACGGACGGAGCGCCGGAGCGGCAGTGTCGTCGCGTTCCGCCGGTGATATAGACGTCCGAGGACGAGAGAAGCGAAAATAGGCGCCCGGAGTCCGGAGTTTTTTTCGTTTCGAACGCGTGCGGTTTTTCGGGGGCTGGGAAATTCGGAGAAATACCGTGGGGTTGGAGGATTTGGGTTTAGTGGGTTATTGTGGTGCTGTTTGGAGGTAAGCTTTGTTTTCTTAAAATTGTTTTATTGTTTGTAATATATCTGGTACTTTGTTGCTAAGTTAGGTAAGATCTACTGAGAGTTGAAAGGAAAAAAATTGATCACGAAAATGAAATTTTCGAAAGTGGTAGATTTATTTATCTAGTTTGATTCCCTACTTTTTTCTCATCAAAAATCACCAACAATGCCCCACAGCTTTATTATTATCTAATTAATTCATTAAAAATTTTTGGGGCACCCGTTATAACACTTGATGGAGGATTTGGATTTAGTGGGTTTTTGTGGTGCTGTTTGGAGGTAAGCTTTGTTTTTATAAAATTGTTTTATTGTTTGCAATAAAATTTGGTACTTTGTTGCTAAGTTAGATAAGAACTACTAAGAGTTGAAAGAAAAAAAATCGATCATGAAGATGATATTTTCGAAAGTGGTAGATTTATTTATCTAGTTTGACTCCCTACTTTTTTCTCATCAAAAATCACCAACAATGCCCCACAGCTTTATTATCATCTAATTATTTCATTAATATTTTTTGGGACACCCGTTATAACGCTTGAAAGAAAAGAAAAAGAATCCAGTTATCCAATTTTTATAAACGACTCACTATTTTTCCCTGTGTAAAATCACCAATCAGTGAATCACTTAATCAACGCTGCAACTTTATTATTACATCATTAAAATATTGTATTTTTGCATTTAACAAAATTTGATAATTTTTTTTGGGACACCCGTTATAACGTTCGAAACAAAAGAAAACAAATTACCTTGTTCTGATCTAGTTTGCTTTCTACCTTTCTCCATCCAAAATCACCAATAATAATTATAAAAAATTTAACAAAAATTTTTGAGACATTTCTTATAACTTTTAAAAGAAAAGATAAAAATTCAATCTTCTTATTCTGATCTAGTTAGCCAATTTTCATAAAAAACTCCAACCATTGAATCACTCAATCAACGCTGCAACTTTATTATTACATCATTAAAATGTTGTATTTTTGCATTTAATAAAAATTCATTAAAATTTTTGGGACACCCGTTATACAACGTTCGAAAGAAAAGAAAACAAATTATCTTGTTCTGATCTAGTTTGCTCATTTTCTACCTTTCCCCATCCAAAATCACCAATAAAACTAATTCTAAAAAAATTATCAAAAATTTTTGGGACACCCGGTATACCATTTGAACCGCTCAGCATTCAAATAACTCCCATTCCGTGACAAATTATTATCAAAAAACGAAACCATCTCCTTAGATGCACGTTTTACATGTTGACCTATATTATATTTTTTTTCTAACTAACTTCAGATCGCTTAATTGGCCTTAAGACAAGACGAAATATCAATTATTTCGATCGCATACCAATTAAAATAAAAACGCTCGTGCATTGCGGCAATCGTTCAAGACGAGATGCGTCAATTAGCCAGTCGATCTGCTCCGAAAAGGGGGCGGAATTCAACGAAATCATTTTTCTAAATACACAAACTTAATAGTTCCTAAACTTCAGCCCTAAATTAAATTGTTTATTGTATACAGCAAATCTACCTACATCAGCGCCTGTATAGTTCATTCGCTGAACTTACTCCGGTTATTAGATTTAAAATTTACAGTGAATTGAATGAAACGCTAGTGTTTATTGTAGAATTATAGTAGATCAATTTATGGGTTATTTTAATCAACCCATTTAGTGCAATTGATTAGGATTCTGGAAGAAACTGCCCAATTTACTACCCCTATTTTAATCCATAAGTAACTTCAGCGAATAGACTATTAACAAGTAGGTAGTATATTTCGAAAACGTTTATGTAACATACACAATTCCTCATTAAACGCCATAAAAAAAGGTCCGAAATTACCTAACGACCCGTTTTATTAGACCTCCTATCGCCTAAACAAACGATCATATTCGAACTCGGCGCGCTTTTTTTTGACATTTCGACGAAATTCCAGAAATGTAAGAGGCCGGCCCGTGACGATGTGAATTCCTCGAGCAGCCGACAGCGCCGGAATCCCCCCCGATCCGCGGTGAATGCGGCGCGTCACGGGGCAGCGCCCCAGGTGTACCGGCCGCCTCCTGGTGGCGGTGCTGCTGGCGCTGAGGAGCGCCGCCGCGGCCGAAACGTCGGAGATCAGGGACTTCGTCGAGACGAACGTGCTGCCCGATGGCGAGGTCGAGACGAGGGTGTTCTACAAGGGCGTCGTCGCCAAGGAGACCAGGGTGGGCTCGGGGTGAGTAGGTTTTAAATTATTATAAAAAAATTGTAAGATTGTGGATGAAATTTGAATAAATTACTCAATTTTTGTACATTTAATAACTTTTTTGTAAGGTAGACTGGGGCAAATCGGTTATAAAATTTGAATAGTTCAAATTAAAGCCTAAAATGTGGCTTTATTTTTTCTCTTATTAGAAATGCTGATACCACATTAAATTCACAACCTCCTAAACTAAAAAATCGAGGTATTAAAAAGTTTTTTTGAAAAAGGAAGAAAATGATTTTACATATTTTTTTAAATGTTGACAGTATGTTACATTTACCCCATGGTACGGGGTAAATGTAACAAACGGTTCTAAAGTGCAATACAATTACATAGAAAAACATATGGGCAATTGTAAATACATATTTGGTTCCTTTAAAATTTGATATGCTGTTTATTTATTTATTTCAAAAAATAACAGAGCTACAAAATAATAAAGAAAAAATAAGAAACAAACCCTGTCTAATGCACAAAAGAACTATAAAAATGATAATAAACATTAACATAATAGGTAAAAATATTACATTTACCCCATTTTTCAGTTGCCCCAGTCTACCTTATAATAAATTACTGGATTTTTCTCAGGTTTATTATGCATAAAGTTTATTTGTGTTTATTTTATAAAGAAATTAAAAGTAGGGGGAAACCTAACAAATTTTTGAAATTAAATTTAAATTATCAATTAAACTATTTACAAATTCAAATTCAAACCTTTTTTTGTAATAAATTACTCGATTCTTCTCATGTTCATTTAATTCAACAAATAAATAAACAAATTAAAAGTAGGGAGAACTCAAACATATTTTTGAAATTGATATTAAAAACTTAAATTATAAATTAATATTTTATTTATGACAATAATTTGTCACGGAATCGGAAGTTAATAAAACAGATACCGAGTGATCCAAACGCGATACAGGGTGTCCTAAAAAATTTCAACGAATTAAACCGATTTTTTATTGAAGATAAAAATACATTTTAACGCACTAATATAATAAAATAAATAACTACACGGTTGATTGAATTTCTTTTTGTAATAGAAGACGTTTATGTGCTACTTTTACGATACTTCTAAATTACAGAGCGACGGTTATATTTTATTTTTTTCTTCAAATATATTTCGTCAAATTTAATTGAAACTATACAACTATAAAGAACGGAAAAATATAGTCGTGTACTTCGGACTTAACGACATCGAATGAATCATTCGTTTAAAACATAGTTGAGAATATATGGCTCGATAAATTGAACCTTAACCTTATATGGTAGAAAATTTTCAAGCCGGTCCTGTGTCGTTTGTATCGTAAAAGCGCAGGACCGGCTTAAGGCGAGCCAGAATAAACCCATTAAAGGTAGGGAGAAATAGGTATAATATATTTTTAAAAGTTTTTAATTTAAATTGTTGATTAAACTATTTAGAAATTTGAACTATTTTTGTATAATAAATTACTGATGGATTTTTCTGTTCATTAGATTAAATAAATGAATAAAATAATTAAATGTAAGAAGAAACCTATTTTTAAAATCAATATTTGAACATAAATTATTATTAATTAACCTATTTAAAATAGAAATTTGAACCTTTTTTATAATAAATTACAAGATTTTTCTCTTCTTTATTGTAGATTAACTAAATTAATAAACAAATTAAAAGTAGGGAGAAACCTAACATATTTTTGAAACTTCTACTAGATACTAATTAACCTACTTAGAAATTAAAATTTGCACTATTTTTTGAACAATAAATCCCATACTCATTAAATCCAATAAATTCATAAAAAAATAAAAATCAAAGGAAATAACACACATTTTATATCATAAAATTATCCATTGATAATACATTATAGCATCGAAATGACGCAATATACGCACTAATGAAACAACCATAAATCAAAATCCCTTGCACAATTAGCATTACAATAACAATTAGATAAGCGACATATTATTAAACGCTTCCTTATCAAATCCTTAATGCCGTTACCTTAAAAAATGGAACCGCGCATATAACATAAACTGAACTCCTTATTTCTCGTTGAAATAATTCGTAACAATCGCCCGACGACAATCTAAATAGATCAAAATGTAATCGCTTGATGGATTGTTTTCTTGCGTTGATATATTGTTTATACGAACGAACTGAATGGGCATATACAGATAGAGTTTATCTCTAAACCGCGGTTTTTGTTTACATTGACTATTAATAATCGCTCGAAAATTCGTCGCTCGGGACGAATGGAAAAGGATCCACGAACGGGCGAAGAGAAAGCGGGTCAATGGGGAAAAGTTCGAAAATACACAATCTATCTATCTATCAATCTGCGAGCACTTTATTAAAGTCACAGAATTTGAGCTCAAAAAGTATATGTAATGTTTGCTTTAGGTTACCTATGGTTTGTTATGAGTTATGAGAAAAAAGGATGTAAATTGGGTAAGAAAGGGAATGTAGATTTTAATCTTGAATGTAAATTGGCCACAAAAGAATTTGTAGGTAGGTAAATTGGGCGCCAAAAGGAATTGTGGATAGGTAAATTGGACGCAAAAGAATTTGTAGATAGGTAAATTGGGCGCCAAAGGAATTGTGGATAGGTAAATTGGGCGTCAAAGGAATTGTGGATAGGTAAATTGGGCGCAAATTGGATTGCAGATTTTAATCCGATAGGTACATTGGGAGCGGACATTTATAGATTTATAGACAAAGTAATTCTTATATCTAATTCTACTCCTACTGTTACTTCTACTTCTGTTGCTATCTCTACTTCTAATTCTAGTCCTAACATTCACCTCACTTCATGTTATATACATATAGGATGTCCAATAAAGAGACTTCCTGCATAAGAAAGTTGGAAAGTTCAACTCTTAACAGGATCTTAAAGTATACTTTTTTAACATTTCAAATAATAAATGGAATAAATTTGCGCCCAATTTACCACCGCCGGTTTCGTTTTAGAGACGTATATATTTTTCACTATAAATTAGAGTTTATTAACGCATCACCATATTCGCTTCTCATGGTCCATTGTGACTTTGAAAGCTTTTGTTACCGTCCAACGCCGTGTAATCGCGTCTTATCCGATATCGAAAGCTCCACACGTCAAATCTGACACTCGATCCTTCCCTAAACACGTTTACACAGTAACATTACATCGAAATACAAAAAATTTACACTCACAGAACCTCTCTTAATACAACTTACTGGACGCCTTTATGGCAAACATTCGCACACTATTCGAGAAATATATTTATTTTTATTCGACTTACTCGACTCCTTTGTGGCTCCTGTGCTTTCACTTTCCTAGCAGATAATACTGTCATTGGCGATTGTCGAGTTAACAGTTAATTTTATTATCATATTGTGTTGGTTTTTGCGAACGTTTCCTCGTGCTTTATGTCGAACGCCGGGCGGTGTCGAGAAGCCCTTTTTATCCACCGCGGGTAAACCTAGTCGAGCATAAATAAACTGGCTCTTTTAACGTCGGAATTACCAGTGTCATAAGGACATAAATCGTGCGGGATTAGTACAAAAAATTCTCTCGATTAAATATTACGTGCGTAGGATATAACAGTACAAAAAAAATACAATCGAATTTACTATTTACTATTCGTTTATTATTACTACTTATTAGCTGTTTGTATTTCGAACCTCGCCTACGCCTCGTACCGTAAATCGGAGCCTCGTGAACGAGGATTTACTGTGAGATTTCATTAAAATCGAAATTCATCACCTAGTCCAGGCTAGTCCATTACAGGCATTCCGATAGGCTCGGTTTTTTTAGGTGCGCCAATGCGCCATTTAGTTCTGGTCGCATGGTAGAAATATACTATAAAATATACGCCTTTAGAAGTGGGTTTTCCAGCGAAAATAAATCAATTAAACTCGACTTAGTTGTTTGACATGCGCCATTTACAACGACAACGTATTGTTATTCAAATGTCATACCGGCGAATAAGGGCCGCAGAAGAAGCCTTGAACGAAAGCATGTAGAATATTATAGGCAACGTTGTAGGTAATTGTGTTAGATAAATTTTTAGTTATACTCCGTTCGGTATCAGGAGGTTGGAATTTTGGGTGCAAAATTCTAAAACATTAAGGTTTTTATCATTTTGGGGAATGGTAATGTTAATTTTATTTTAGGTGTGCCACTCATCTGTGTACGTTTTATCTAATTTTATTTCATTATTTTTGTTATTTTATTTATCAAATTATTGAATCAATAGTGCCTGCTTGCCAGATATTTGTAGAATTTACCGCTTGAAGAAGGTTTTATGACTATTCTCCTGATAGCGAAAGGAGTATAACGTTATTTTTAGAGGTGGAAGTGCGAGAAAAAATGCGAAATTTTTATATTTTCGGTACATAAAATGAATGTTTCGCTATGGATGTACTACTTCAAAAAGGTTTTATTATGATCTTCTTATAGCGAACAAAGTATAAAATTTTTTAAAATGTCTCAAAACTTCCCACACTGTATAATATTCTCAGTTTTTTCTCTATATATTCATAGTTTTTTCGTTGTATTTTTAATTCTCTGGGCCTTTAATTCATTTTCTGGATGTACTGCATGCTTAAAAAACGGTTTATTACTATCTCTTGATGGCGAACGGAGTATTATTTGAACATAAGATATGGTGTAGTATGCGAAAAAAATTGAGAAACTTGAGAAACTAAAAAATAAACGTTTTACCATTGATTTACACCTTCAAGAAGGTAAAAATCTCTAAAAACGTCCCACCCGGTATAATCTTTCCACTTATTTTCGTCCATATATTTCTCCTTTTTTCGTTCTATATTTCATTCTCTGGACCTTTAGTTTATTTGCTGAATTTACTGTTTCAAGAAGGTTTTACAGGTCCTGATGGCGAACGGAGTATAACTTGAATTGTAGACATGGTTGTATGAGAAAAAATTACTAAATTTCTATATTTTCGGTACAAAAATATAAAATGAACGTTTTACCATTGATTTACTCCTTCAA